CGTAGCCCCGAAAAATTAATTTAATACCGTAGTGGCCCGATGTGACCACGGATCAGATAATCAGAACCCTTTTTGGCAGATGTAGGGTCCCCTGTTTTGCTCAACTTCGGGAAGATGTGTATAAGAGACAGCCGTAGTGGCCCGATGTGACCACGGATCAGATAATCAGAACCCTTTTTGGCAGATGTAGGGTCCCCTGTTTTGCTCAACTTCGGGAACTGCTGAAGTTGCCTGTTCCAAACGTTGGGTGTGACTCCAACGTACTTGCCCCTTTTTCTTTTCTTTTCTTCTCTTTTCTTTTCCCCTCAAACGCTCTGCTCTTCGTGTGCAGCAAATCCACTTCTGCCAAAAAAATACATCCTCAGAATGATAGCCTTGTTTATCGATGTTTTTTTTTTTTTTTACAACCAAGGAAAAAAAAATAAATAATACAAATCTACTTACGCAGCTTTTAACATAATCCCCTTCCCAAATCCCGCTACTGGTCGGGAGTCCCACAAAAGACCTTCGAAAGTTTTTTTTCACTATTCTAGTATTTTTCCTTTTCCGGAGTTTTTTCCAAATTTTGACCATTTCTCGAGTTAACTTACTTACATGCGTGTCATCCTTGCGCGCAGGGGCCACATGCTAAATTGCTAATCCCGAGTTATGCATGCCATCCTTGCGCGCAGGGTCCATCCATGCTATAATCTTCTCTATTTCGTTTTTTTTCCAATGAGGATATGCGCCTTCTGAAAATCAAAGCACACGGGGCTGTTGATGGAATAGTTATGGGTCTTATGACAAGTCCTCTACTTCATGAAGTTCATGTGGCGGCATTAGTTTTGTTAAGAATGAGTGCTTGCTATGATCATGGCGTATGACAAGGTCTCTCTTCTATTCGCTTGTGACAAAAAATTGTGAACAATAGCATGTCGACATTGGTATGTCGAGTATTAAACAGCTAAAAAAAAAAAAAAAAAAAAAAACACGAAGCTTTCTAATGCTTCTTTTTAATTTGTTGCGTTCATACACAAGCCCCGTCGGCCATGGCTTCATATTCTTTTGTCTTCTTTCCAATGCTTTTAACTGATGTGCTGAAGAAGATACCTTTTTTATTGTCTCTCATGTAAAATTCAAGAGGCGGTCCCTGAGCCCTATCCTCGACACCTCCCAACTCTTTAAAAAATGATAATACTGTAATAAATTTAAAAAAAAAAAAATTGAGAGAAGGACAGAACCTCAAAAGTTAAAAAAAAAAAAGTCCTTCGGGACATCCGTTAAAATTGGAACGATACAGAGAATGAAGATTAGCATGGCCCTTGCGCAAGGATGACACGCATAAATCGAGAAATGGTCCAAATTTTTTATTGTGTTCTAGACTGCGAATACGAAAAAAAAAAAACAAAAAAAAAAACAAAAAAACTCAAAGTCGGAACTGGAAACTGCGAGCCAAGAGAGAAGAGGGCTTCCTAGCAAACTTAAGGTATAGCTTGGGAGCTGATAACATCAAGATAGACAAGGATCAGGGGATCAGGGACGAGTGGATGCTACAGGGGGAAAGGATCCAGGGCTGAGGTCCCACTAGCAAAGAGGATCGGATCGAATGCCTGGATCTGGATGTGTTTTATGAAGAGATGCAGAAAAGCAGCTCAATCTCAATTTCCTGCAGCTCTCTACAAATACGTCCAGATTCAGGCATTCGATCCGATCCTCTTTGCTAGTGGGACCACGCCCCAGATGATCAAGTGGCCCGAGGATTGAATAGGCCAGAGGATGTCTGGATCTGCGTTTTCATCAAGTCCTTTATGCGCCGGAAACTGAAGTCATTCTGGAAAAAAAAAACAAAAAAAAAAAACAACGTCAGAATTATGGGAGGCAGTTCGCTGAGTGCGGGTGGGTAGAGCAACCCCCCAGATTGCAGGACCTCCCCTGGCACAAAGGAGGAGGAGGTGATGAGGCAGTGCCCCTGTTCGAGAACGCACACAGAAGGAATGAAGAAGAAGGAATTTTATTTTTTTTTTTCCTTCTTCAGGACATCCCCTGTAAGAGCACCCGCCAGATCGCAGGACCTCCGCTGTGCTGGCTGTCCCGAAATAGAAAGGACGTGTTCGCCAGCGATGTGGCCATGGCTAGTCGCTATTCTAATAATCCATTTGTCACATAAAGAGTAATGACAACTTCCAGCTTCCCGCCCCTTTCTTTCCCTCCTCCTCCCCCCCGCCCCCCCCCCAAAAAAAAAAAATCCTCGTTTCCCTCCATCTTCTTGCTCCTTGCTCCTGCTGATCAAATCATCCTTTCCTTCTTTCTTGTCTTGTCTTGCCTTCAGCGCCACTATCACATCGCCATGGCCAAGCTGAGCGCATCGCCAATCGCCATCGCCATCGCCAAGTTGAGAGACGAGCTCGCGGCCGATGGTCGGTATCTCGACATGGTCGGTATCTCGACATGGTCGTTATCTCTACAAAATGTTTCCACAGAAATCGCCTTGCTGGACTGCAAGAAGAGAATTCAGCATCAGCCTTTCTCAGGATGAAATGAAATGCTATATTATCATTAAAAATAATAATTAATTAGTATTAAAATGAGTATTAAAATAGTATTAAATTAGTATTAAATTTAAATAAAATTAATGCATCGCCATCGCCAAGTTGAGAGACGACGCTCGCGGCCGATGGTCGGTATCTCGACATGGTCGCTATCTCTACAAAATATTTCCACAGAGATCGCCTTGCTGGACACAGCTCAGTGGGTGGTAGAGTAAGGTGGGCCGCGATAGGCAAAGGGATAAGCGGAAAGCCTCCTGAGGAGACCGGGGGCCACCCGGTTGAAACATGTAGAGGAATGAGTGCGCGTTTGAGCGATATACACGTATGTAAGAAACGATTTTCATGGAATGCGTGTGAAGAGCAATTTGGCCATTGCTTACCTTCTTCTTCTTGCTGGACTGCACGAAGAGAATTCAGCATCAGCCTTTCTCAGGATGAAATGAAATGCTATATTATTATTAAAAATACTAATTAATTAGTATTAAAGTAAGTATTAAATCAGTATGAAATTAAAATAAAATTAATGACAATCGTAATATAACTCTTCTCGGGATATGACCTGTTTTGTGACGGGTCACTCGAACCCCGTTCTCTCAGGAAGAAATAAACTCCAAAATTACAAATAAATTCGTAATAATGATAAATAATCACAATAAATAACTCTGAATTACCAGGGGCAGGTGAACTCAACGATAATACCTTAAGCACCCATTTCCCTTCTCGATACGAAATAAGAGTTTAATACTAATTTCTTAAAGCCTAAAAAAGTGTTGACGACCACGATGTACTCTTATCGAGTAGCACTGAGTACACAAATTAAAAAACAAAACCAAAAAAAAAAAAACAGGGACCACTGAAAGTCTAAAAAAGTGTTGACGACAACGATGAAGGGAAGGCAAGAAAGAACGAGAACGTGAACGTGGTTCGCGAGCAAGATGATGATGACATGCTGTTTTACTACATGAAGACATATATTCAGGCGCATAGGCCATTTGAAATGCACTTTACTCTGAAAACCAGTCAGATGCAGGCAATGCAGCTATTCTAACGGCATCTACTATACCCTAATTAATACACGGTCCGATGCGGGCCCTGCAGCTACTCTTAACTGCAAGTTTCCGTTCTTTCAATTTTTCTATTCTTTTTTTTTTTAATTCTTTTTTTTTCATTTTTTTTTTCGTTTCTTTTTTTTTTTTCATTCTCTCCTTCTTTTATTTTTTCCATTCTTTTTTTTTTTCAAAGCACCTTTGCAACAGGGACGTGTTCGGTCAAAGCTCGGAGTTGAAAGACCGCGTTCCGACTTCTGAAGACACAAAAGCTCTTCCAATTAATGCTTTCTTCAATTTGTCGTGTTCCT